AAAAAAAAAAAAAAAAAGGAAAAAAATTTGGAATATTATTGCTATAAAAGTATATAGCAAAATCAAACTTACTCTCCCAATCCATGCGGACATCTTTGTCAAAAAAGTAATGAGCCATCTCCCTGGCTGTGACACCCTGTGGGAAAATAGAAAGTAATGTAACTTTCATGAAGTGCTGCCTATTTGCATGTTAAAACTCGGGGGTTTTAATATACCACAAAATGTGAACATATCATGAAATAATCAGTTAACACCAAAGTCACAATGGAGGTTCAGGCTGCTTGGGCTTGGGTGCTACTGTAGAAAACCTGACTGGCCTGCCCAACCCACAACCCAGCCACAAACCCCCATGTCAAGCACCCTACAAGTACTTGTCATACTAGAGCCTGAAGGCTCAGTGCAAGAAAAATAAATAAACAAATAAATGGTCAACTGAATACATAAATAACTAGACAAGCAGTTGGGGATAGGAGGGAGAGAACACAGAGAAGCTATCCTCAAGGATGACAAAGCCACACTATAGAACAGGGACCACAATGCAGGCACATGGGAAAACAACGCATGCACTGATGAGGAATACTACTGGATAAGGACAAACACCACAGACTGCACACAAACACAGTACAAATGCTAACAGAAGGGTAATATGCTAACAGCAGGCCACCAAAAATGCTATTGTTGTTAACTATGATAAATCCATTTAACAATAATAATAATAAAAAAAAAACATTATTGCTTTTAGAATCATGGACAGCTACAGAGTAGTAAACTTCTAGAGGTCATTGTAGTTGTGAAAAACTTGTATGTACTAATAGGAATCACCCTCTTAAAAGTTCATAAAATTCCTCAACTTCCAACAACTTTTAAAGAATTTCTTTACTTTCAGTCTTAAGGTTTGTTTAGAATAACTTGACAAAGATCAATCAATCATGATATTTCTAGCTTTTTTGTTCTCTGAGAAGTGATTTTCTGTTATTTTCCAAGACCTTTCATAACCCACACTCAAATCTCACAACTTTCCTGGCCTGGATAAACATATTGTATAAATCTACAACTTTCCAGGTTTTTATTGATGCATATGAAACCTGGAAAAGCTGATCAAGTGTGAAGTTATAAAAACTGAAATGCACAGGTATCTTCAGACATTATAATGCATTTTCTAAGTACCTGTACAACATGGGTAGCCTTCATGGGAACCAGAACAATACCTCCTTCTTCATAATCTCGTCAGTATACCTGTACCAATAAAAAATCACATACATTATAGTACAGCAGTCTGGGAAGTCCACTCACAATTCACTCTTAAAACAACAAAGGGTCTTGGTGTGCAACAGTATTAAAAACATAATTTCTTTCATCATCTTTATGTTTAACTTTTCAGACATATCCAGGCTCAAGCAAAAATCAAACAACAAAACCATCTGGGATCATCAGGGGCTTCATTAATGTTTTCTGCAGGAGGGCAACTGGTTTTCACAGGCGGGCAAAACCCTCCTCACAACCGGTCAATTTGCCCGGTGCCTGGCCCTTAATGAAACCCCTGGATCATACCTTCAAATCTCCATCTTCATACACTAAGTTCCAGTTGTGGTCCACATTTTCCAAAACAATTTGTAAACTTTCCTTTACATTTTCATCAACCTAGAAAAGGAAATAGCAGTTTTAAGGCATTCAGCAAGTGTTTTCTTCTCTTGGTCTCAAAGATCCTCATATGTATTAATTTTATGACCTAAAGTTTCAAACAGTGTAAGTGAGAAAAACAATATGCACTACACCATCTACAACAGTACTGCAAATGGCTTAAGAAGTGTTGAACACACATACATGTACAGTATTAAACACATTTGAAGGATTGACTACTTGATGATTATGGGAAAAAATGACACAAAATTGAGTTTAGCACTCTCTTACCTCCGTTTTTAGTCAATGAGAGGGTTCTTCTAATGTAAGCTCAGAAGGAGGCATAAAGGTGCTAAATCTGAAAGTCATTCTAAATCAAAACAAACCAATTTCATTTCATTTTTGAGGGAAAATGGGTATATGGAAAAAATTAAAATAAGTATGTCAAAGGCACCGCTGAGAAGCAGGAAGTGTAGTTTACTCTATGTTCACAAAAAGTGACTATACAGTTGCATTCTATCACCTTCAATCAACGCCAGCGACTCGACACCCATCAGTATTCAGAAAATGACAATGTGAAAACAATGAGAAAAATGGATGACCTACACCTTGTAAACTTTGTGGA